GGGGCCCGCCCTGATAATCGCGCACGGCGGAAGGATTCCGCGCATCCCAATGATCCTCGTGCAAAGGGGGGTAGGCACGAGGAAACGCTAATGGACGGTGGTCCGCGAAGAGGGAGAGGACGTCGAGGTTGAGGGGGACCCGGGGGTGGGTGACATCGAACAGGGAAGTATCGGTGTCGAAGTCGAAAAGAGAGACATGGAGGGAGAAGCGACGGGAGTAGCTTTGAGCGGGGGAGGCAGGGGCGGAGCCAGACATGGGGGGCAAGAGTGAGGGGAAAAATTGTGCAGGCCCTGAGCCCGGGTTATTAAAACATATCCCGGGCTCAGGGGCGCGAAGAACCCGCAGTACGATCAGATGGAAGCGCGGGGTTGAAACCGAAATGCGGCTTCGAAATCGGGCGATATCGGCAAAGTTAAGCTTTTGCTACTCCCACATTACGACGCCGATCAAGTGATAAACGGATTTGCTTCCACGGACACGGCAATCATCTGGACCTGGACGGATCAAGCCTACGACCAACAAGTAAAACGACAGGGGTGAGAAAACAGCCAATTACATCTAGGACGCCCGGGTTATTACCCGGGTTCTTCACGAAGGAGAATGAAGAATGAGGCTGGCTCATACACTCGACTGCCAAATTTGGGTCGTTGAGGACACCGACCTTGAAGGGGGGGGTAATGTCATGAATTGCGGTTTTCACAACCCATTCATTTCCTTCCCTACTACCCCGTTTTCCATACGACAACCGAACTCCAAAGGAACATCCCAGAATACTCCTGGATCCACACGGCGACGGACCCGGAATATTCCCTGAAACGATGGTAACTCACACCGACAGTTGACAACCGCCCGGGATATTCAAGGATCGACGATCGGACACCCGACATGTGTCAAACCCTAAAAGCCAATACATCGTGGAGATATATTCGATCACACTCCTGTGTGCCATACGTTGTCTCATCAACGCCGATTGGTATTTCAGATGAAACCTTGGATACCTAATTAGCAGAGTAGTATATATACTAGGTAGAATCTTCCTGTACTCTAGATTCTACCTCGTCTAATACCAGCTATACTTTGGCCTGGCAACAACGAAGTGTCTTCTCACCACTGGACAACGACTCTCAGTATACTATCGTTCATCCTCTCATCGGTAACCCTACGTGCGGGTTATCTGGGCGCGTACTATACCGCCTTCGGGTCTTTTCGGGTTCCACCTCGAGCGGACATACGCCGGACTTCGCCCCTTACTGTGGCTATCCGACTATATCCCCTCCTCGGCGCTCACCCCGGGTTCTAGCCGGGTTATCCGTATAAAGGTCCCGGCCGGGTTATTTCCATATCGACATCCCGTCAGGCCGACCTAGGGCTGTCGCTGACATGCAGTGGCACAGATGCATCTACAGCAAACAATAAAAGATGTTGGGGTAGCCGAAGACAGTAGTTCAAAGGGCACTAAAAAAGATAAGTTGGTGAATTTTCAGATGCAGAGGTTAGGACACACAGTGTGGTTTCAGCATGTTATGACCACTGGAGGAAAGCATAATAGCAATTGGTTAAAGTGCTCTGCATAAACGAAAAACTCAAGTTGAGCCAGATGCATAAAAAAAATAGCAATGAACATACCATTCCTTGCTCCGTGCGGAAGATGTGAGCCAGTAGGCTGTTCTTGGCCATCACCGCTTATGCAGCACAAAGAAGTCAAAACATTGAATAGGTACTACAAAAGATCGGGTTAGTATTCTCCTATGGCAAAGAGAAAAGAAGGATGAGAGTCATGCATCTGGGTAACCATAACCGGAAATAGTATAACCGGAAATTGTTTTACTGGGTGTGATTACATAACTTTTGCTCAATGACCAGTTACCAGAAGAAACCCGTGCACATTCTCCCTCAATTCCACAACTTGTTTCAGAGGAATCGGTTTACTGGTACTGTAGAAAACAAATGGAACATCAGTCGTGCTTGATGAAATCATGTAATTTGACCGTGCACTAGAAACAAACCCCTGGAAGAAGTTGTGGCAATGTGTATAAAGCCAAAAAAAGTGACCAGATAGGCTTTTGACATCCTGTGCAGATGCTAGGAGCCTCAAATGGCAGTACACCATGCTGTGTGCATTAAAAAACGTGAACCAATCTGAAAGGTCCTCACGGCAGTTTTTGGCATTTTCAGGCATCCTCGTACACCAGGCGGTCAGATAGCTACTCAGTATTGCACAGATCTCTGCCCCAAAGTGGTAGATTAAGCTTTAGAGCCTGAAATGTGTGACCAGAGGACCCAATAATATTTTTTAGAAAATCAGTTCAACTGGACATGGCCGTGGGTCACATTCTCAGAACAAAATGGCTCAAAGCTCAACTGATGACTAATCTTTGCCGGTAATTTTGGATCTAGGAGGGATACTGAACTGATAGGTCTCATCCACCCGAATAACGGCCCTGTCCACTGTCAAAGAGGCCAATAAATGCTGTGTTTTTCCACACCTTGATCAAAATTGATTGGCATCCAATTTCCCCGGTTTGTGAGCACATACCAGCAACTTTTAATGTTGCAAGCTGCTTTAAGGGTGTCAGAGGATCCTAATCGCCATTGCCAGATACTCAAAACAAAAATATTATACCATTTGCAGCCATATAAGCCCAATTTCCGGTCACTTTTTGTGATAGCGAGTATGGTTCATCGCTGGGCTGCGCGCTCCATACGAGTTGGAGTCTTCCTAACACTCTGAGACGGAAGTCCGGGTGAATACCCTTCATAAAGTACTCATTGACCTCTCTGTCAGATATTTTTCCTTTTGCCTTCAGGAAGTCCGCGATTCGCTGGAAATCCCGAGTGTACTGGCCGAACTCGTCCCTATTCGTGGGTGACTTCAACTGCCCGGACCTGACTACTTCTCTAAGGTCGGTCCAGGTGTAGAGTTTGTCTCCATCGGCCCCTGGATATAATTTTACGACTGCAGTTTTTTGAATGCTTGGAAGGTCATTCCCGCAGTCTGCTTTCGCGTCCATAATTGCTCCTCGTCGATCTCCAGGTATCGGAGCGTGATATGAATTAAGTTGCCATCCGTAGTCCTTTCTGAGTCTGTTCCTACATCCTCGATGTCCTGAAAGTATCGTTTCAGGTGGCCAGCGTTCCCGTCGAACGATGGCGCGGACTTTGCGCCACGGGCCGGTAGTGGTTTCGGCATTTTCCGTACGGGAAGTAGTTGAATGGGGATTTGTGCGGATGGGGAAGGTAGTGAATCACTTAACAGCGTAATGGATGATGGGTCGGAGATCGAAGTGGTTTCCACAGGGGAAGATGCTGGCTCGGTATCCTCTAGCTCCGTGAGCTCTGAGTGGTCCGATTCGATTTCTATCACAGGGATCCGGGGGATTCGGTTCGAAGAGCGTACTTTGGGTTGAGTCTCCGCAAGTGTTTTCTTCTATTAAGGTTCGGCAGGGACCACGCGTGCTATTGGTAACGGGTGTGGGCGGGGCGACGGAAGTCGTGCCCTCACGCATGTGTACAGAGCGAGTGCGAGTCTCCAGCTGTGAATTTCCCCCCTCGCGGTGGGCTCCAGATGTGATACGGACTGCGGTTCTGTGAGTTGTCTGACCGGGTGAGGTATAGTCAGGCAAAAGCACGAAATTAGTTCGTCCTCTAGAGGGAAATTTCTCTGTCACGGAGATTCGTCTGCTACGGTAGTACACACGATGTTATGTATTTAAAATGGTGGTGGTGGTGGTGGTACAGTTCCTTCCGCACGGAATGAACAGTTTCGCTAGGTTCCTCGAGGATTTATTTCCTCGTTGGGGGCTAGCCTTCCAGGAAAGCTTCGATCGGAGGGTTTTCTACACTTGCGCGAAGGGCAACGCTCCGCAAGATGAACACCGTTCCGTGTCGAGATGCCTGGGCTACATGGTTCCTTTCATTATCTCCTTGCCTCGTATGGGTTGGGCAAGCAGTATCTTCAGAACTGTTGAACACAACGCGTACGGGTTATAGCGTAGTCCTTCGTAACCCGGCTTTTTCTCTACACTGTGGTGGTACGGCCAAGGAGTGTCAATTCCGTGGGCGTGCGTGTGGCGAAATGGTAAGAATGAATCGTGGAGTGGTTATAATCGAATCGGATAAGCCTTCCGCGACAATGGGGGTGGTACTCCGCACACAGATCTGCGTTCGAGGCCCAAGCCAACGGTTACACGCTGCTAAGTTGGGCTGCTGGCCGTTTAGAAGTTTTGCCACGTGTTCTACAACCACGCGAGCTATCAACGCCGATGTTTTCTATAATTTCTTCTGGCTCCTTCTATTAAGCCAGAAGTACTACCGACAAGCCTCCTTGATTGAAGCTTCGGCCCAAAATGACCTTGGTTGGTCCCACGGAGGGCGGCGCAACCTGAGCAAGTATGTATTTGACTAGATTCTCACCCCGTATGATTGAGGGGGAGTAGCTTAGGTATGAGCAGTGGGAGTTAATAAGATGCATTCTTCTACGAACGTCCCTGCTTTATACTTTCCGACCGCCGCGCGCGACCTTATTCCTCATTTGTCCACAGACCCCTTTTGACACTGCCCTCCTTGCCTCGTGGCGTGGATGTCCATGCTTTCCCGTGCGCTTGAAGGAGATACCTAACTCACGGACTGTAACGTTGCTGCCCGTGCACCCAATTTCCGTACTCCGTAGCTTTGATATGTGTGTCTTCCGCGTGGCGACAATTTCCGTACTCCGTGCAGTACTCCGCGTCGGCGATGTTTCCCGTTCCGTGTTTTGCGTATGGATCATGTTGATTTGTTAATTTTCGTGAGGACCATGGCGATTTGGGGATTTTTGCAGTGGTAGGCCTGGTGGCGTAACTGGTAACGCGCACATTTACTGTAACTTTTCCTCATAATATTCAAATGCGAGACCCTCGTTCGATTCGAGGTCAGGTCGTGTACGCCAGTCCTGGTGACTTTTTCCCACGGGAGAGAATCAACCGTGGGTTGACTCCTTTTCATTGGTGTTTGTAGTGTAGACCTGGTGGCGTAACTGGTAACGCGCGCATCTGCAGTCGACTTTTCCTTGTAAGATTCAAATGCGAGACCCTCGTTCAATTCGAGGTCAGGTTGTGTTTGCGACATTCCTTCCTTTTTCGGTGCGTGTTCCGTAGTGCGTGTTTGCCTTTTTCAGCCACAGAGGGAGCGTATCACAAAGTGATAGCTCACAGCGTGTACCAAAGCACACATGAAAACTACCAGTTTTCTTTCGATTCCGGACCTATTCAAAGGTCAAAGGGAGACTAGGATTAGAGAGAGTACACTCTCCTCAGAGTGGTATTCTACAGCTATGATGGCCGAAAGTCAATGGGACACTAGTTACTCGATGCCCAACAAGGCTTCCTTACGGGAGAGGTGTTTGGTTTTCGGGTCAACCGTTGAGCTCCGAGAGTTGGCTTACCACCAGACTCCTTGAGTGCTACAGGTGATCAAGAGGAACTATGGGTCTTAGCGGCTGAACGCTATTAGCAGGGCCTTGTTAAAGAATAACAAAGTTGAACTTAGAATGACTCTCCTGGCGGCTTCACGGACCGCCAGGAGAGTATCGGCGTTACGGGAAAGCATCGGACTTATGGGTGGCAGTCTCAACTCAAGTTGAGTTTTAGCCCGCCGGGCAGGCTAAATTAACCACTGGGAGACCCCGTCTGGGTTTACCGTTGAGCCGCTCGAGTGCAACTCAGATCAGAGAATCAAGATGAGCCCCGTTGCAAATGATGTAACAGAGTTTAGATTGAAGTAGAGAGGCCAGACTAGTGGTCATTCATATGAAACCATCCTCCAGGAGGATTGAAGAGGACATGTCTAAAAAGACTACACTAGAGGGAGGATATGGGACAGACAGGACTCGCCGGGAGAGGCCACTTCACGTCGACTCTCGGCAAGCTACTTGTTGGCAGATGATTAAGTCTCAGGACTTGAGTTTAAGATGGAGATCCTCGATGGTCGAGCACGGCACATACGTGTCTCCGGGAGGAGTGATTGGGATAAAGCAAAGAGATTAGAGAAGGTGAAGCAGCTATACTAGAGAAGGGCTCGCCGGGAGGCTCAGTCCTCCGGGAGAACCAGTTCAAGTTGAGTCAAGCCGCCCGCTGAAGGCTGCCTTTAGAAGAGGGTACCTGACAGAGGTTTCACTAGGATCTGGACTCGCCGCCGGGAGCACTACCTCCGGTAACCATGAACCCACGGTTGAAGGAATACCAACGGCGCCATTGGCTGCCCTACCGTAGATCCGCCCGGAGGGATCACTCACGACATATCACGCCATTGTGAATCAGCCAAACTATCCCCTTTTTGCTCCCTCAGTTTGTATAAATACAGTAGAGATACACCAATGTAAACCAGTGAATCCAGTCCCCCCGCTGTTAGTACCTCAGAGATAAGAGAGACAAATCAGATTTGTTGGAAAGCAATCAGACTGGCGAGCTAATACGTTCTGTGAACCACGCCCTTTAAGACCACTGTAAGTGCGGAGGACTAAGCCAGTCTTGCCACCCGTGGAAAGCAGCCGTTCTACAGATCTTGCCGTCGATCGAGCTTGCTCTCTTCCGCCGACATTGAGGTTAGCTCTGTCAAGAGATCTGTTTGAGGAAATAAAGGAAAACTCTGACCTTTCGGTCTACCAGTTGACTGCTCTGTGGCAAGAGTGGACACCATAGCGTTGTTAGTACACAATCCCTGCATTCTGTGCTCGATTCTAGCTCTCTAGACTGTGCTATCTACGGGAGGCTCCTGAGATAAAGATATTGAATTGAAACCCGCAATTGAACTATACAATTTAGTTGGCGATCTGCTTGTTGATAACACTTGAAAGCAACACTCTTGAGGGACAAGATGCTTGTCCCACTACCCCGAACTCACACACACGATTAGCTTCGGTTATTGGAGTTTGTGAGATTAGTTGGTTTTGGTTGGTTTTGGTTGGTGTTAGTTGAGTTGATAGCTCGCTGCGCTGGTCCGACCGCCAATCTATCGATTTCACGGCTGCACCCGAGTGCACCATTTCAGTGGCATTGACATCAGCTCATACCGCCATCGGACAAGGAACTCTCCACACTATGGGTGGGGAGGTCAAACTCAACACGAAACAACCCCGGGTTGCCGCGCCTCACATTGTCAGCACAGAGCCTTAACTAGCAGGGTTACTGCGACATAGGCGACTGGCGATACAGAAAGAGATAGGTTTGAGACAATCTGATTAAGCTCTGGAGAATAGACTAGAATAGTGTAAAGAATACAGAGCTGTAAGTAGGGGTTTTATAGTAAAATACCTAGTAACTGGTAGCGAAGTAATTAGAATATATATGAAATATGTCAGAGGCGTTGCCAGTGACGGTTGACATCGCAGCGTGCACCAGGCAGAAAGGGGTGATCGTTGAGGAAGCAATCAGAGGAAAGTTGAAATAAAAGGATCAATGCGGCGCCTGATGGGATTCCTGATCCGGGGTCGGCATTGATCTCGGCATTCGGGTTATTCCGATCGTAGTTGAATAACCCGGTGTGAAGTTGATCCGGGGCGGGTGTTAGGTGAATAACCCGGGGAGTTTAGGATGGAAATAGGGAAAAAGTGGAAATCATGACACACATGTTCGGAGGAGACTCGGAGCAGGTCGACCAGTTTCTGGCCGACTGTTGGCTGAACTTCCATGGCAACACCGCCTACAGTCTGGATAGCAGCAAGATTACCTTCGCCCTATCCTACATAAAAGACGGATCTGCCTCTCAGTTGGCCAACAACGTCGTGTTGGCCATGCAGACGAAGCATGTGTGTCGAACTGCGCTTACAGCCTGCAGCTCGGTGTTCGAATAGTTCATCCGCTAATCCTAAATGACCTTCGATGCGCAGTTGGCCAGGAGATTTACTCAATATATATTGCACCTCACCATTCAAATTTCCACGATGCAACCAACCATTATTCTTCCACCCCGGTGATGTCCCAAACCCGCTGCCGTTTCGGACATAAGTCGCGTACCAATTTCAGTAACCCATATGTTGTATTCAAAGCAGAAAACTTATGCCACTTACCCAAGCCACTAACAGCTCACTGGTCACTCGGACGTTGTGCATACGCGGGCTTTGCAACTCTATGGTACTGTAGTATTTCGACCAAATGTTCAAGTGACGGGTGACGGAGGGTCGTGAACCGAACAAATTTGGTGCATGTAATGGTGACATTCCAATTTCTGGGCTCAAATAGGGGTAAAAACTGTCAAAGAATCTCGGCCAGCACCTGCCGGCCGTCCATTTATGGTAATGTTGGGTGATTGCCGAGGAATGAACACCAAGCCGAATGAACACCTGTGGTGACGGGTGACATGGCGTGAACATTTGGTCGAAATAGTACAGTATAAGTATCTGGAGCCCATGGAACAGGTGTTATCCCCCCACCCCACCTTAATATTAATTCCAGATTCAGGGAACAACACGTACTACAATCGCCCACAAATCGTTGGGGAATTCATCGCCATCCGTATTCGAATTTTCTACAACGCAACCATCGGGTTTAGATGATTATCGTACGGTATGATGGACATTGAACTCTACTGGTTCGAAATTGAACTGACTTAACCAACACGGTTATAGCACTGGCAGTCGGACATGGTGTATGGTACACGGCGGGACGTCTTAGACAATGTCCGACATACAGCCCGCAGCTCGGGGTTTGACTCCCCGCGTTCGATAACAAAAGCTCGACAATTACATAGTTGACATGTCGAGTGACTCGTTCAAAAACGCAAAGTAAATATAATCGGAGCTTCCTAGCATTCAGCGTGCATTTGATTCAACAATCACATTCGCGAGGGAAAAGACGGCAGTAAATGTTGGGTGATCCGTCAGAAAATGCAAAGTAAAATATAATCGAAGCTCGACAGCATTCGGTGTGCGTTTGATCGGTTCTAACTGATGCAAGTACTGAACACATTTGTGAAGGAGAGAAAGACGATGCGCGCTCAGGAGTTGACAATATTAATATTACACCATATTCGATTCTCGGCGCTCGGAACACGAATGTCTGCGCGATGATTTGCATGAAACACATGGAACTGGAAGCAGGAAAACTGTTAGACCGATCTCAAAAGGCTCAAGGAGGACGAACCTTAGCAGCGACAACATGAGAATAAGAATTGAACCACCCTACCAGTACGAAAAGGTTTCGCATGCATCTACTATTGAAACGAGTTCAGGAACAAGGTGTGGTCAGAGGAAAATAGGTGTACCTATGGTCGCCTCGGGCCACAAGGTGCGGTTGGCCCACTCTATCTTGAATTTGAGGCCATCCATAATGAAACTTTCGAATGCTTCACCCTCCAAAGGCCCAGGAAGCCACGATATAGCATCGCTGCACTCCGGATCCTCCTCAAGCTCAAGCCGAAATGTGTGAAGCACGGCTGGGCCTTCTAGCGCCCGCCTGCTACGCAGCATTTGGATCAGGAGGAAATAATTGATTCTTTGTTCGACTGCGAAGATAGAGAGTGTCTGGAGTTGAGGCATCAAAGTTGGTGTTGTCGAGGTGAGGATGTCAAGGAAGTGATCATTACCCTCCTTGTCGTCATGGGGAAGAGTAACATGCAGTGTGCTGAGGGTTGGAAATGCTACGAGGCAGCTCACACGCTCCTCGCTGCTGTAATCGCCGAGATTGAGATGAAAGTTGTCAAGGGTGCAGGATGAGCGTGAAACGAAGGAAAGAACACCCTCTAAAGTGGATTTTCCTTCGATCTTGAGACGATTGAGATTTGGAAGAGTGAGGAAGGTGAGTGTGGGAATGATATTGTCCTCATACTCCGACTCCAGCACCAACGAGCAGAGCAGCAGGGAAGTGATGGGTTGAGTAGCAGCCTCCTCTATTGTGCCTTGCAACCTGCAGCCGAAATGTGCAAGTAGAGGAAGGACGGTCAATGTGTGAAGGAATGTTGTTACATCGGTAGCTCTGGTGATCTCCAAACTGGTCAGGGACGCCATGAAGGAGGCCGCTTCAACAGGAAGCCTGGACAGATGAAGTTCAACGAGGCAGGGAGCCTTTGCCAGGATATCCAGAATATCCATCGGACTCATCTCGTCACTCCGATGACTGTCG